TTCTTTGGTTGAATCCTGACTGATATACCTGCTTTAGGCTAAACTCTTTGTACTTTAACTCTACGAAAAGTTGAGTAAGATTTCCATTGTTTGATACTGCAGTCCACCTACTTTATCCTCTCTGAAGAGATTAAGATAAAAGTGCTTTTGATATATCATAAACCTCAAACACAGCACAAAAGTTTGTTTATCCTTTGACACATATAAATTAAAAAATTAAGGAAACATCATAATGATGAACTATTATAGAATAATTTCTACCAAAGTGAGGAATAAGACAAAGATGCTTGCTTCTACTTATAATGGTCAATGAAATAATGTAAGAAATGAGAGAGAGAAATGTCGAAAAGAGACAAAGCTGTCACTATTTGCAAATAATATGATAGTCTGCATAGCTATTTCAAGATAATCTGATGAACAATTAGAACCAGCAAGAGAGGCCAGGCGTGGTGGCTCACACCTGTAATCCCAGGACTTTGGGAGGCCGAGGCGGGTGGATCACCTGAGCTCAGGAGTTCAAGACCAGCCTGGAAAACATGGCGAAACTCCATCTCTACTAAAAACACAAAAAAATTAGCTGGGCATGGTGATGGGTGCCTGTAATCCCAGCTACTCAGGAGGCTGAGGCAGGAGAATCACTTGATCCTGGGCAGCAGAGGTTGCAGTGAGCCGAGACTGTGCCACTGCACTCCAGCTTGGGCGACAGAGCGAGACTCTGTCTCAACAATAATAAAAAAAAGAACCAATAAGAGAGTTCATTAAGATGATAGATAAGAGATCAACACAGAAACAGCACTAGCATTTTTTCAAACTTACAATAACCAATTATCAGACATAAGGGAAAAGGAAGCCACATAGTATGAAGAACTGTAATATACGGGGAATGTACCTAAGACAAATGACAAAGCTTTAATGAAGCCCATACAAGAAGACTGGAATACACATAGATACATAACAGATTCTTGAATGGTATGACTCATTATTATTACTTTATTATTATTTTTTTGAGACAGGGTCTCACTCTGACACCCAGGCTGGAGTGCAGTAGCATGATTTTGGCTTACTGCAAACTTTACCTCCTGGGTTCAAGTGATTCTCCTGCCTCGGCCTTCTGAGTAGCTGGAATTGCAGGTGCCCACCACCACACCCAGCTAATTTTTGTATTTTTAGTTGAGATGGGGTTTCGCCATGTTGTATAGGCTGGTCTTGAAGTCCTGACCTCATGTGACTTCCCCCACCTCAGCCTCCCAAAGTGTTGGGATTACAGGTGTGAGCCACCATGCCCAGCTATGATTCGGTATTACAAAGATATCAATGAACTCCAAGTCTATCTATACATTTAATGCAATTTCAGTCAAGAGTATTTTTTTCATGATGTTCAATAAGCTAATTAAAAATTCATCTGGAGGAGAAAAAATAAAGAATAGACAATAATTTGAAATAGTACATAAATAAGTGGGGGAGGAAGGATTCGTCTAACAACATATATAATAAACCATTAGAAGCTCAAATCACGTGGAATTAGTACAGGAACATTAAAAAGTCAATGGAACAAAATGATTTTCAAAAATAAACCCATGCACATATGGGAGTTTCTATGACAAAGGTGGCATTTCTTCTCAGTGGGAGGAAAAGATGGAATATTCAGTAAATGGTTTTGAGATCACAGGATATCCAATTGTAAATAAAGTACATTATTTATCTCAGATCCTAATTAAAAATAAATTTAAACTACGTGAAATATTTATACCTGAAATAGAAAAGCCAGAAGAGTATTAGAAGAGCATATAGTAAAAGTTTTCCAAAAATAATATTGTAATAGGGACTTTTCCCCCAAAACAGTCATAAAACCTAGAAGCTATAAAAACCATGAATGAATTTGATTATAGAAAATATTCGTTTTTTCTTTGCCTGCTTCATTTTTCTTTTATATTACTATATACGATTTTTAAAATTCATATGACAACCATGAACAAAAGACAAGTGGCAAAGAGGGACATACTTAACAATAGATCAATGCAATGATATGTATATAATATATAAAACGGGCACTCATATTTTAAAACTCCTAGAAATCAACAACAAAAAGCAATCAACATGGTAGAAAATTACCAGAGGATATGAATAGACCATCCACAGAGTGAATAAATATGACCCTTAAACATAAAAAAAGCTCAACTGTCACAATAATCAAGGATATCAAATTATCACAAATATCGCCAAATCAAAAGAAATATTTTCTGCCCTTCAAACTGACAAACAACAGCAGCACTGGCAAGATTGTGAGGAAATAGATATCCATAAACTGACATGATTAATAGTATGCTTTTTTCCATGCAATTTTGAGGTGTCAATCAAAATCCAAAGTGCATGTGCTCTCTCACTCATTAGTTCCACATACAAGTATATTTCTCGTAGAAATATTTTTACATATGAACAAAAATATATTAATTGTGATGTTGTTTGTAGTACAAAAAGTTGAAAACAATTGCGTTCTCATCAATAAGAACAGTCAAGTAAGTTTTTTACATCCACACTATGTTGATGACAGCAGTTAAAAAAAGAAGGAGGTAAGGAAAAACTCTCCAAAATATACACTTTTTTTCAAGACAGGGTCTCATCCTGAATTTTTGCAAACTATGCATCCATCAGAGGTCTAATATCCAGCATCTATAAAGAATTTACACAAATTTGCAAGAAGAAAAAAGCAAACAACCCCATTAAAAAGTAGGCAAAGGAAAGGAACAGACACTTTTCAAAAGAAGACACACATGTGGCCAATAACCACATGAAAAAAATCTCTTCACTGATCATTAGAGAAATGCAAATCAAAGCCACAATGAGATACCACCTCACACCAGTCAGAATGGCTATTACTAAAAAGTCAAAAGCCAACAGATTCTGGTGAGGCTGTAGAGAAAAAGGAATGCTTACACACTGTTGGTGGGAGTGTTAATTAGTTCAACCATTGTGGAAGATAGTGTGGCGATTCCTCAAAGACCTAAAGACAGAACTATCATTCGACACAGCAATCCCATTACTAGGTATATACCCAAAGGAATAGAAATTGTTATATTGTAAAGACACATGCATGAGAATGTTATTGCAGCACTATTCATAATAATAAAGATATGGAGTCAACCTAATGCCCATCAAGGAAAGACCAGATAAAGAAAATGTGTACATATACACCATGCAACACCATGCAGCTATTAGAAAGGAGATCTTGTCTTTTGTAGGGATGTGGATGGAGCTGGAGGCCATTATTCTTAGCAAACTAATCCAAGAACGAACAGAAAACCAAATACTGCATGTTCTTACTTATAAGTGGGAGCTAAACGATGAGAACACATGGAAACATCGAGGAGAACAACACACACTGGGGCTTACTGGATGGTGGAAGGCAGAGGAGGGAGAAGATCAGGAAAAATAACTAACGGATACTAGGTTAAATACCTGGGTGATGACATAATCTGTACAACAAACCCCCATGACACAAGTTAACCTGTGTAACAAACTTGCACATATACCCCTGAATTTAAAGTGAAAGTTAAAAAAAAAAAAAAAAAAAAAGACAAGAGTCTCCCCTGTGTGGCCCAGAGCTGGAGTACATTGGCACAATTATAGCTCACTATAGTCTCAAACTCCTGGACTCAAGTATTCCTCCCGCCTCAGCCTCCCAAAGTGTTGAGATTACAGGCGTGAGCCACCAAACCCAGAAAACATGTACAAATGAATGAATGAAAAAAGCAAATCTCAGAACAATACATATAAGATGGCCTTTAAAAATCCCCCAGACATGTATATATGTACATGTTAGAAAGATATCTGGATCTCAATAAGGGTACTTATTAGACTTCTGGGGGAGAGGAGAGGAATGAGGGAGAAAAAGGAACTACCACTTTTTACTTGCTATACAATATGTATATACTTACAATGTATTGTATGGAAATAGTTTATAATGAGAATATGTTTGTTTACTACAAATGAAGTTCCATAAAGACTGCAAGGGTAGCCCACACTGAGGATGAAAAGGGCAGGGTCTCCATCATATGGAGAGTCTAAAAAGCATCAGAACTGATTTTGCTGATCTGAAACATGTCCTAGTCCTGACTGTGCTCTCCAGAATCATCTCTGTGCCCCAGATCTACTAAAGCATACTTCTCAGGCTTTACTGTGCATACCAATCGCTTGGGGGTCTGGTTAAGATGAAAATTCTGATTCTGTAGGTCTGGGGTGGACCTAAGATTCCACATGTCAAACATGTGGAACAAGCTGCCAGACAGACGCTGCTGACGTCCATGGACTAGCTGTCAGTCTGTGGACCACAGCACGAGTGGCAAGCTATTAGATGCTCTTTAGAGCCCCACAGAACCCGACGGGACTACCCACTCAAGACACTGCATTGTCCCTTCCCTAGTCCTTTCCCTTTTACTCAGTCCCCCTTCCCATAGTTTTCTCCTGTACTTTTCCCATTGTCTCCCTTGTTTCATCAGAAAAGGGATTGGGAGATTCATGGAGTCAGAACTGCTATCTTTTGCAGTCAAATTCTTTTTTTTTTCTTTTTCTTTTTGAGATGGAGTCTTGCTCTGTCGCCCAGGCTGGAGTGCAGGGGCGCCATCTCGGCTCACTGCAAGCTCCGCCTCCCGGGTTCACGCCATTCTCCTGCCTCAGCCTCCCAAGTAGCTGGGACTACAGGCGCCCACCAGCGCTCCCAGCTAATTTTTTTCATTTTTAGTAAAGATGGGGTTTCACCATGTTAGCCAGGATGGTCTCGATCTCCTGACCTCGTGATCCGCCCGCCTCGGCCTCCCAAAGTGCTGGGATTACAGGCGTGAGCCACCGCGCCCGGCCCTTTTGCAGTCAAATTCTATAGGCCTGGTCCTTCATTTCAGCATCCCTGTTTTCTTCCCGAGTTATCTGTTCCCTTTCCTTTCCACTTGCCTTCCCCCTCTACCCTTGCCTAACCTGGATGATCTACACCCCCGGTGGATACTCACTTTTTACTGTGGGAGAGGCTCCAAGCAAGATGTGGGAGTTCACATTTTCAAGCGGTTCTGAGTTTTTCTGCATATCTTTGAAAGTTTTCATGTGGTTTGTTCTACCAGGATTGATCTGCATTCGGGCTCTCTGCCAAGCTACCATCTCCTTTTCCTTCTGAGGAAAGAGTGAGTTTCAGCTCTGTGATTCATCCCTTTTGGGAAAAATGGTTAGTTACATTTCCCTTTGCGTAATATAATGAAATCATCTTCAGGATACAGGGCAGGTTGGCTCAAGCTCAGTTCAAACTTCTTCCTTCTCTTCTGAAACAATCCTACCCCAGGGGTTTTTACATATATAGATTATGGATACTGGAGTAAAGGGAGTTGGGATTTCTCTAGCTCTCCTTAGCTTTATGTAGGGAATGAGACAATGTCTAGCTCTGCCATTCTTCACCCACAATTATCCTTTTTGATTACAGTCTAGTATGGGTCACCTAATCCCAAGAAGGGCATAGCATGTGTTAAGCATGAGAGATACAGGAGGCCAGTTAAGCACCCCAGTGCTTCACTCTAAATTCTTTCCCACTGGTAGCATTTCACCCTTCCAAGTTCATTCACCACCCTCCCTTCTTTCATTTGCCTTTTCTGGGTTCTGGCAGAATTTTCTCTGCTCCTTAAAACTTTTCTTGACTTGGAGAAATGACTTAACTGTTGTGAGCTTCAGGATCCTAATGCAGAAAATGGGGGATAATGTATAACTTTGAAAACCAAGGGAACTTTTCTGTAATGGGAAACTCACCAAACAAGAAGAAAAATCTCTACATCATCAATTGCTATAAGAAAAGGGCAAACTCTGCCGAAGCATTAAATCAGTGTTATTTCTTCCCAGCCCTGAATTTTGTTTCTTCCAGAGTGTTACCATCCCTTATTGTCTCCATCAAGCAAAAATATGTTGATTCCTCAAAATTGCTTGTCTTTTTTCTTCCTTGAATGTCTATAGCATTTGTGACAGTTTCATTTAAATATACACTCAGATAAATGCTTTCTTTCATTCTGTCCAGGAAAGTTTGCCCCACTTAAAATTTCTGGTACTCACCAAAGACAGGAAACTTGCAGTATCAAAGGGATTTTCATCAATGAAATAGTAGATTGGGAGCACTACTGCTGTTGCAATAATGATGAGTTTCCATAGAAAATCTCTCATGGTGCTGGGGTTGGAAACTTTGCAGAGCTGTTTCCCGATCTGTGATCCTTCAATGTATTCTTGGATGTCTGAAATGTACACACTACTGAGAAAAGTTTTCATCTGATGGTAACATAAAAAAATTCAAATTACAAGATATTATCATTGAATAAGTATAGTTTCCAAAGCCAGTAATATTAAACCTGGGGTTCTTATATATATATTCTTAAGAATCCTTAATGATTTTTTTTCCCTTAAAAACAGAGCTATGCCTTTCTTACGTTTGAGAAACACAGATGTATAAAAATGCATGCAAAGTGCCCTTAATATCACAGCTTCAGTTGCCCCCACTCTTGCCTGCAAGTCTCCATATCCATTCCTTCATTTTTCTTCTTCTGGACACCAATGTTTAATTAAATTTCCAGAGCTCTTTCTTACCTTGATTGCCCCAACTCCAAAGTCCCTGACATGATTTCTGCCAAAGGCAAGGTGAAGAGAAGAGACCTTGATTCTGTTTTAATAGGAGTTTCCAAGTGCATTATAGAGAACATTTCTTATTCACACATTTGAACCAGACAGCATTCATTGAGGAGGTAAGGAAGGGGTGATGGGAATAGAGAGGGTGTGATCTCTAATGAGTATTTGTAATAGAAAAATCTTGCAAGAGCCTATTGACTCCTTCACTCTACTGACTCTCTGGAGTCAGGAAGATATTTTTGCAGACTTTACTCTAGTTTGTGTATATATATCCTACATTAAGCATCATGGAATGTTCTAGAAGGAGATATCTGAAACCTTTAATTCTCTCTCCCCTCCAAGTTCTATCCTTTCCAGAGTGCCCACTGTGCCCTGTCTACCACTGACTCTTATGTTCCATACAGATGTCGATTTGGCTCATGCTGAGCCAGTTCTGTGAGGTGGAAATCTTTATCAGTTGCTAAGTACCCTCTTCCTCATCTCTTTCTACGATCCTCAATGGGATCAGAACACACCGAAGCCATATCCAAAGGCTGTAGCTCCAAGAAGAAAAGACAGTGGGTTATTTTGTCCTCTCCAAACCTGAACCTTGAGCCACCATTTCCTCTCGTATTTAGATGTGATAGTCCTATGTTCCCACAGGTTTTCCTGCCTGATACCAGTGACTGTTTTTCCTATATATCACTGCTTCTCAGGGGCTTTGGGAGCAAATTCAGATTCTTCCAGAGCAGTCCTCTCCATTACCTGAAGTCTGGACCCTTTTTGGTTAGGCATTCATCTTTCATGACTCTTTTTCATGTCAGTTTCTTTTGTTCTTCTGGATGACTCATGGAACAAAACGTAGACATGGCACTTCTAAGCACTTGTTAAGGACCTAAGGTAGGTGATGAATGGCATCAAGTCAGAGGTCCCAGGGACAATTTCCCTTTATGACAGGAAACTTCCAGTCCCCCAGAACTTTTGAGGGGACAGTAAATAAGGAGATTGAAAAGGTCCTCACCTTGACTGGAGCTGTAGTTTCATTTGAGATTTTTTTTTTTTTTTTCTGGATGCACAGCGACTGACCTGACCTCTATACCACTTGAATGTTCAGGGCTTTCCCCAAAGTCAAGAAGAAGAAAATAAAATGTTTGGGGACCCTGGGATGGGGCTAGAAGGTGTATGCATCCTCTGAGGCAAGACAAAGTTAGTCAGATGACACCCCCTCCCATGACAACCATTGTTCTCCCTGAATGGGGGCTGATTACCAACACCCAGTCTCACAGCCAGCACCAGCTCATTGTGGAAGGAGATGGTGAAGAAGATCTAATATCAGCTTCCTATGATTCTGAACTGGATCTAGGGTTGTGGACTGTAAGTGGTCACATTTTTCTCCAAATAAAAATAGTTTTGGCAGGTCACGATGGCTCACACCTGTAATCCCAGCACTTTGGGAGGCCGAGGCCAGCAGATCGCTTGAGGACAGGAGTTCGAAATTAACCTGCCAACATGAGAAAACCCTGTCTCTACTAAAAATACAAAAACTAGCTGGGTGTGGTGGTGCACACCTGTAATCCCAGCTACTTGGGAGGATGAGGCAGGAGAATCACTTGAAACTGGGAGGTGGAGGTTGCAGTGAGCTGAGATCACGCCACTGCACTCCAGCTTGGGCAACGGAGTGAGACTCTGTCTCAAAAAACAAAAACAAAACAAAAAAAATAGTTTTATTGGTATTTTTCTCAATTATGAATATAATACATGTTCGATTAAAACATTAAATCAATTACAAGAAAAAAGAGTAAAAATGACTCAAAGCAATAACCTCTGCTTCATATCTGGTGAACATCTTGAATCTGTCAATCAAGGAAAATGACCAAGGCAAGTCTCAGTCATTTTAAGAGGTTTATTTACCAAAGTTAAGGACACGTGCCTGGGAAACAGGTCTATGCTTTTCACAAAAGATAATTTTGAGGGCTTCAATATTTAAAAGGGGAAAAGGGCAGGATATAGAGAAATACACACTTTTCATGTGAGGGGTGTAGGGGAAAATAGTCATTCATGCCTTTGGCCCAGTGAATCTGTATTTTTACATAAGATAGCGTAGACAATAGGCAGAGGAAAAAATCAGATATGCATTTGTCTCAGGTGGGCGGAGGGATGACTTTGAGTTCTGTCCTATGTCCCCCTCTTCCCAGCACCTGTGAAAATAAGCCATCAATTTACATTGCCATGGTGAACTTTTAAAGGAAGCTTTTTAGGGTAAAGATCTTGGGAGTCACAAGTGGGCACAACGTGGGGGAGGTATGTGGCTTTTCATTTCTGTTGCCATTTTACTCAGGAACAAAAATGGGAGGCAGGTTTGCATGCTTCAGTTCCCAGGCTTGACTTTTCTCTTTGGTTTAGTGAGTTTGAAGTCCCAAGATTTATTTTCCTTTCACAAATAAAAATGAGAAGGATGGATGCAAATCTGACTTTATGGCAACAGAGGTCAAGTGACTCAGAGGCTCTCCAACAGTGTCATTTGAGCAGCACAACTTCTCAAGTGTGGTGATTTCTCGGGGAGTTCAGGGAAGAAGTAAATCTGTCTCCACAAATGGACCATTTTCAGTTTTCTGGGGCAATTTCTAATTCTCTTATTCCAGACATGCTGTCCTTTTCCCCTAAAAATTTCCACCACTCCTCTTTATCTGTTGTCTTCCTTATTGTCCTTAATAATTAATATCCTAAGTCTGTCTTTCCCAGCGCTATTCCTCGCACCCCACCCACCATTCCAAGACTGCTCTAGAAAGCACATACCATTAGCCGCTATCTAAGGAAAAAATGATGGCAATATAATGCGATAATTTTTGTAAGTCCAGAATTGCAGTGTGCACTTGTAAGACAAGTTCTTTCAAAAGAACTAGATCTGAAAGAAGAATTAATTTTTTTTTCTTGGTAATGATGTGGCTTTAATAAAGTCACATGCTCAGAATATGTTCCAGTTTCTCTCTCCCCTTTCCCTCTTCTTCTTTGGTTCCATATTTTCCATTCTCTGTCTTCTTCTTCTTGATCTTTATCTCCCTCCTATTCTTCTGCTGCTTCTCCTGGCCACCAAGGAACACTCCTTAAAAGAATGATGTAGAGAGCGCCTGGCACAGCCTCAGCCGCCGGAGGCCCAGACGCTGCGGGGCGCGAGGCTGCCGCGGTGCAGGTGCAGAGGCTGGGGCGCCGCTCCTCGGAGGGTGCCCGCGGAGACCTACCCTTTGACGCACCCTCGCTGCGGATTGGGGTCTCCGGCTCAGAGCAAGACTGGGCCCAGCCGCGGGCAGGGTAGGAGGCAAGGTGGATGTGGCAACGACGGTGGTGCGATGGTAGCCCCCGAGGAGCCTGTCCACTTCTTGCATCTGTACAGCCCCTGGTGCAGAATTGGATTCAGAGGTTGGGTATTTAAAGGACATTATCATGGATAAAGAATTCTAGGTATTACAGAGATTTCATAGACAAGTACTGTCAGGAGTTTGAAGACGCAGAAGAGAATAATCACCTGTGGTGCCTTTAAAAAAAAATTTTTTTTTGAGATAAAGTCTCGCTATGTTGCCCAGGCTGGAGTGCCGTGGTGTTATCAGGGCTCACTGCAGCCTCGACCTCCCGGGCTCAAGCAAATCCTTCCATGTCAGCCTCCTGAGCAGCTGGGACTGCAGGTGCACATGGCTACTTTTTATTTATTTATTTTTTTTAAGGGGCCGAATCTCACTATGTTGCGCAGGTTGGTATCAAACTCTTGGATTCAAGCAGTCCTTCCGCCTCAGCCTCCCAAAGTGTCAGAATTAGAGGCCTGAGTCACCATGCTTGGCTATGCTGCCAGTTTTTAAAAACTTTTATTTTAGGTTCGGAGTACACGTGCAGGTTTGCTATGGAGATAAATTGCCTGTCATGGGGATTTGGTGTACAGATTATTTTGCTACCCAGGTAATAACCATAGTATCTAATAGGTAGTTTTTCCATCCTCACCCTCCTCCCTCCCTCTACCCTCAAGTAGGCCCAGGTGTCTGTTGTTCCCTTCTTTGTGTCCATATGTTCTCAATGTTTAGCTCCCACTTGTAAGTGAGAACATGTGGTATTTTATTTTCTGTTTCGGGGTTAGTTCCCTTAGGAAAATGGCCGCCAGCTCCATCCATGTTCTTGCAGAGGACACAATCTCATTCTTCTTTTATGGCTGCAAAATGTTCCATGGGGTACATGTGCCACATTTTCTTTATCTAGTACAACATTGATAGGCATTTAGGTTTATTCCATGTCTTTGCTGTTCTGAATAGTGCTGCCATGAACATATGTGTGCAAAACCCAATAATGGGATAGCTGGGTCAAACAATAATTCTGCTTTGAGTTTTTTGAGAAATTGCCAAACTGCTTTCCATAGTGGCTTAACACTCCCTAACTAATTAACACTTCCACCAACAGTGTAGAAGTGTTCCTTTTGCTTTGCAAACTCACCAGAATGTTAATTTCTGACTTTTTAATAGTAGACATTCTGACTGGCGTGAGATGGTATCTCATTGTGGTTTTGATTTGACTCTGATGATTAAGTGATGGTGAGCATTTTTTCATATGCTTCTTGGCCATGTGTATACCTTCTTCTGAAAAGCGTCCATGTCCTTTGCTTACTTTTTAATGGGGTTGCTTTTTGCTTGTTGATTTA